GGGTATGTTAGATATACATGTAATTGGTGATGTCACGTGTCGATCCTAGACGTATGTCGGGATCGGGACGTGACACCAATTCTGTTGTAGTGAAGGGTTGAGCATTATGCCATTTATGTTGTAACCAAGAAATGAGGTCTGAATGTAGAGAAGGAATATCAATGATAAATTGAGTAACTATCGAACATACGAGTGTTTTACAATGATTTAAGAAAGAGGTGATTCAATGTTTCCTCTTCCAATCCAAAAGAAAGAACAATTTAATTAATCATATTGATGTTTTTTTTTTCTAGGTCGAACATATTAATGTTTGTTTAAATTTTTTGTTGCTTTGTGAGCAGTGTGTATCTTGTAACAACAACCAATCAAACATTTTGACTTTAGGTCTGAACTTGAGTCAACATTCTTTTATTTTTCTTCATCATTCTCTTTTATTTGCTTCCTCTTCATATCCAATCTTTTTACTTGAAGAAACCGATCGCGAACAAATGCGATATCAAATGGATGTTAAGATTTGCTTTTATGAGAAATGAAATTTGAAGTTAGACGCTTACAGTACAAGGACGATTACACTAAATTAGCAAACTGACTTAATCGATATTTGAAGAATATGTATAGTTTTGAATTCCTATATGTCAAATTTTAGAAGTCTTATTGTGTTGGTTAAAAAAAGAAAAAGGAAACAAAAACTAAGGCATATGTATGAGCTACACCGAACAAATAAGCCACTGCCGGATCTGTGAAATGTGGTCCCAAAATGACCACTTAAAAGGTATTGTTTAAGCAACTTTTGGCCCTTATTAAGATATTAAGTGACGAATTCACATGATCAGCATATTGTTATAAGCGTGACCAATTGGATGAATTCACTTTGAACTCTTTGGAACTGTTAAATGTTGTGTTATGCTAATCAAATAAGATAGTGACTTAAACGCATATAATATTGTTGTAATAGTTGAAGTTAGGAATTTCATATTGTCATTGATTTATGGTGAATTCATACTCTAACTCATGGTGTGATAAGTCATTCAATACGTAAGAAAGATAGAGCATAAATATATCCCGCTACATAGAAATTTTTTTTTGGAGAATTTTTTTATGAAAAACACATTAGCAAAATCAGAAGTGAATAATTACTTATTTTTTTATCTAACTGATTATCATTTAAGTCACCTTATTACGACTCGTCCCTAATTTTAGTGTAATTTATTCTCAAAGTTGTGAAATCCCGAAAACGTTCCTAAAAGGCTAAGTAGAAATCTTACGTGGATATTTAAGGTCATTTCATATTTTGTCAATTTTCTTGTCATTTTCTTGTAATACTTGTCACTACAAACATGTGAGCACAAGCAGAACAAAATTTAGAGTTAAAACAAAGATTCTATGAAACATTAACATTGAGGGTATATTGGTAATTTTGGTACCAACCACACTGAGTGGAACCTTCTAGTTTGCACGTGAACTTTGCAGTTTATTTTGGGTAGTTATTTATTTGAGGAAACTTTTCCTCTAAGGTTACCACTAACACTCTCTCCCTCATTCTCTCTCCTCTCCCTTTTCCCTCGGTTCACTCTCTCTCACATTCTCTCTCTTACTCTCACTGCAATCCAGAGAGTAGCAACGACACCCCGGCTACTCTCCAACAAATCTGACCACCAAACCACCACATAGGTATGCTCTCCTCTGAGAGGGTAAATTGCTCGGATATACATACTTGGACGGATTCAGCTGCCCCAGTATAACTGGACACTCGACAACCTTGCCAGCATTTCCTAGAAATAGCCACCATAGTCTTTATCAAGACTTAATTAACCGAAGGATTTTGGCCCTTGGCCCACTCTGTGAAGACCCAGGCTTCTTTGCCAGAACAAGCATAAAGTGCAATACATTCCCTGAACTGCTGCCCACGAACTTCAATACAACTGCATACGTTTGATGTGACAAGTTAGTAATTTTCATGTTCACACGGAACTCTATCATGATGTGCTAGATACTATGCAACTCAAAGGATTTGTGCCCCCAAAAGTGCAATATATTCCTTGAATTGCTGCCCATGAATTTCCACACAACTACACACATCTACTGTGACAAGTTAGTGATTTTATGTTCACAGGCTATGCGACTCAAGGGATCCATGATAAAAAAAAGTGCAGCACATTCCCTGAATTGTTGCCCACGAATTTTCATAAAACTGCACACGTTGCTGCAACAAGTTAGCGAATTTTGTGTCCACACTGAACTCTATCATGTTGTGTTATGGGCTATGCAGTTTAAGGGATTGGTGACATATAGTGCAGTGCATTCCTCAAATCGTTGACCACGAATTTCTATATAATTGTACACATTTTATGTGACTAGTTAGCAATTTTCGTCTCTATACAGATTTTTATCATATTGCGCTACGGGCTACATAACTCAAGGATTAGTGACCTCAAATTACAAGTGTAGTACAATTTTCAGGCAACTTATGAGAGACTTCATCGTGTCACGCACTTCGCCCTTGTGAAGTACAAGATCTTATAAGCTTAAGTACATTGCCCATGGAATCTCGCCTTAGTCACACAAACAGGTTCTCATTTCATACGACTTTCGTTCAAGCAATGAAGTAAACTACCAGCTTGGCAGCGACAACATCACCCGATCAAGGGGTAGTAACGCACGATGAATGCGGCAGCTTAACGCCCCATAAAACAAAACTCGCAGCCTAGACACGCCTTCTAAGAGCGCCTGCTTTGATCAAAGCCGCATTGCACTTCAATGGCTAGAGTTTTGCAAGCGCTTCAAGCAAGAAAAGTTTCAAAAACATTCAAGGCAATCGAAGAATGAAGATGGAGTAAAGCAAAGAAAGCAGTTTATTAAATTTCTAGTAAATTGATAAAAATCTAACATAAGCTAAAGCAAACAAAGAGAAACAAAGTCTAAAAATTCTCTAAGGGGGGTGTATTCAATTGGGATTCTAAGGGATTTTAATTCTTTTAATGAATCTAGGGGTATTCAATCAGGATTTTAAGTGATTCTCTGAAATTCTAGGTGTATTCAATTAGCATTTTAAAATAGTTTATTAAAATCCTTAGAAATCCAGGTGTATTCAATTAAGATTTTAAAGAAGTTTATAACATTCCAGGTGTATTCAATTAGAAATTTATTTTAAAGAATTTGAGAAAGTTGAGGAATTAGAGGGAATTTGAGAGATTTCATAGTGTATTTTAAACATCCACAAATCTCACCTCTTCCCATGAGATTTCGAGGGAATTGAATCAAAATTTTATATGGAATCTCTACAAATCAATTAAACTCCATAAAAATTTATGGATTTATAAATCCATTAAAATCTCTCACATTCTCAATTGAATACACCCCCCTAAGTTTGAAAGTAGGCTACTCTTGGATGATCTCTGGCTTTTCAGCAGCCACCTCACCTTGAGCGGGTTGCACTTCCACCGCTTTATCTTTAGTAGCTCCAATCTCTGCAACTTCATCCTCAACTGCTCTATCTACAACATCTGAGAAATCAAACTCGAGTAGTTTCCTTCTTCTAGGCAACCAGCACTGGTGCGACAGCAACAAAATGAGTAAGCATTGATGTCTCTTAAGCAGCAAATTTCACTTTCCCAAGTGACGAACTTTCCTCCCCACTTCTCATAGTACTGAGCCTTTCAGAAGTCAATCTAGACTTAGTCACAGGACGACGCTTCATTTTATCTCCGAGCCCGGACGCTGAGGGCAGCACAACACCACGTACTTCCAATGTAACTATATCACATCATAATTAGATAATGTCAACTTATAACTAATTCTTAATTACAAGTTCGGCTCACCTAATTAATTAAGTTCCCTAGTGAAAGAAAGTCCTAAAAAGGCAAAGACATACCATGTCAATAAGGAGAAATTCTTACGTGAGGCTTCCTCGTAAGAAGGGATGGGTTATAGTTTTAGTGGCCGGATAATCGCGGTTATTTACCCATAAATGTGTAAGCCCTTACCTGTATAATCGTTTACCCTTAGGTAATTGTATAAACGAGTATACTCATACCCATAACCGTTTATAAACAGGTAATGGTAACCATAATCACATACCCATTTAATTATAACCGCATACCCGTTTATCTTTTTTTCTGTAAGTTGAAAATCATTTCCCATTCAGAATCACTTTCTTTTTTCTTTTCTTTTTCTGTTGCAAAAAATCAATTCCTTAATATGTCGTATTTCTTGAATCATTTGTTTGCAAGTCATCTGCTCGGGAATTCACAATAAAAATGCACCGACATTATCAAACCTAAGCAAACAATAATCATCCGTGTGTGGCAGAGATCATGGTTACAAAAAATCAAAATTATGCAAATTTATGGAGAATGAGTTACATATCAAACGAGTTCAACTGTCATCGTGGTGCCTAATACAATGTTATGTGTAAGTTTTTTGATGTTCACACGATATTGTATTGTTGGACTAAGATCAAAACACCACGCAGCGGATGAATTTGTTCCATGCAAATTGCTTTTTCAACTTATGGCTGGTTAGCCAAATTAAGATTATAATATTAAATATGATGCCCTTGTAGCACTGACTAATGATCAATGAAAAGATTTATGTGAAATCAATCTCGAAAAAACAATTTACAATACTAATAAGATGCTCAAGACATTTGAAGAATAAAAAGAATTAAGAAACCTACACAGCGATACAATGTATTTGAGTTTTATGAAAATTAAACTTGAAGTAACACATCAATTCTTTCTATTTTTTATATCAACTTACTTTACTTCTTTTAGAAAAAGAAACATGTAACTTGTACTGATCATTGCACCACTTGCTAATTTTTACCATAATAAAGCTAATACAAGACCAAGGGGGACCTTTTTTTGCCAATTGGTTGCTTAAAATTGCCATATTATATTTCAATTTCCCAACATATTGCTCATAAAAAAATTTCACGCAATTAGATTTTTTTTCCTATAAAAATCCTAATAAGATGTCACACATTCACACAATTAATCCTTATAAGTTCTCAATTATTTGTAGCAGAAAATAAAAAATCAACAATGGCGTTGTGGGTTGCAGTTCTTTGTATCGTGGTCATGGCACTAAGTCAAGTTCATCCCTCTCATGCTCAAAACTCACAGCAAGACTTCCTCAACGCACACAACGCGGCGCGAGCGCAAGTCAACGTGCCGGATATCGTGTGGGACAACGCCGTAGCGGCGTATGCTCAAAACTACGCCAACTCGAGAATTGGTGACTGCAATTTGGTGCATTCGAATTCCAATGGGACTTACGGCGAGAACTTGGCTAAAGGGAGTGGCTCGTTCACGGGCGTGGCGGCTGTGAACTTGTGGGTGGCGGAGAAGCCTAACTACGATTACAACTCTAATTCTTGTGTTGGTGGGCAGCAATGCTTGCATTACACGCAAGTGATTTGGAAGAACTCGGTTAAGTTGGGGTGTGCTAGGGTTCAGTGTACCAATGGGTGGTGGTTTGTGACTTGCAACTATTCCCCACCTGGAAACTACGTTGGGCAACGTCCTTATTGATTAAGGAAAGCTTAATCCAAATTATGGCATGCATGGCTGCCAATTAATTGGTAATTTTAACTAATTATGATCAAACCATAAAAATAATGAGGATTGATCCCTTGAAGCTTTTGATGAAATAAAATAAGAGACGGTGGACTCTTTGCTTTTGGTCACCAAGGGTATTTATGTAAATTTGTTTCGTTTCCTAGCATGTCTAGTGCCTTGATATTGTTCATATAGATCATGCTTGCTCTTGTAGTTAAGCAATATTTCTGACTAATATTGCGGGGTTCCACTACAGTGATTTTACACTAGCTTTCTTCTATAATTACAATTTTTTTTTTTACAAACAATATTATCTACAACAATGAGGAGGGGGGTGAGCTTGGCCTTACAATGGACTAGCAATAATGTTGTTCAAATTTGCATTTTTGGCAATAATCGAACCTATGACTTCTCACGTACAAATGAAAATGAATACTACTAGACCGTAGTATTAAATAACTTCTATAATTACAACTCAAATCCCTTTGTTTGTGGAGAGAGGGATAGGGAAGGAAAATTTTTGTGAGGTCGAAGATGGGATGACAAATCTGACTCAGGTTGAATGTATTGTCATCTCTAGAAATCTCTATGTAACGGCCTTTGTACCTTGAATTTTAAGTTTAGTTGTTGCTCTAAGCCTCGGAAATCATTATTTTGATAATCCTCTTTCTTGTTCAAGTAGCCTTATTCAGAAGATCCGCTTGGGATGTACAGGCCTAAATTTATTATTATTTACTTTGTTTGGGTTATAAGCCCCGTTTTCAACCAAAAAATAAAATGCATACACCACACAATGTTGCCAAAGCATTTTCTTCTACAATTTCATTCGATGTTGGAAGAATTGCAATGCATGGATTTACCTCGAACCGTATATGATACTTAGTCTTTGTGGCTTTTTCTATTTTTTGTTCTAGTGGTAAAATAACTTCTCAAACCCGATAGATTTGCAGTAGAATTACCTTTCACCACAATACATGTAATTAGTCAAGAATTTCATAAAATTCATCCACAAACATCGTATTTAGAAGGATTCGGGTGAAATTACATACGAAATACACACAAACGATATAACATAAATGTTAACTCTTCATACTACTCATCATCTCTTCCAGACTCTCCCAGAATCATTCATCATATGCCCTTCTCACTATGTGGAAACATTAACTCTATATATAACTAGATCTTACACGACTTTCATGAGAGCTCAACAATTCTTGGTCGTTTTTTGGACCGATTGTTACCAACATCTTCACTCAAAGCATTATCTTGATCAGGCTCGCGTGTTTTGAGTTTCGCATGAAAGCATGTTTCCTTATCATCTTTATCACTTGTATCATCTTTGATATCATCACTATCTTCATCGAAACTATCTTCGCTGCTACTGTCGTCGGAACTATCTTCGTCATCACCATCCTTGCTGCTACTGTCATCATCACTGCTATCCTCTGATTCCTCTCCGCTACTGTTGACGGCTAATGGTATAACAGGCTGACAACCAGAAATTGCAGATTCAGCAGCAGTCACAGCCTCAGGAGTTTGAAGATCAGCAACGCCCAGCATCAACTCCTGTCAATTCAGATCCACCCACAAATCAATTATTAAAGGCATCAACAATCTGTGAGCGTGCATGTGTGTATGTGTGTGCATCCGAGAGAGAGAGAGAGAGGGAGAGGGAGAGAGAGAGAGAGAGAGAGAGAGAGAGAGAGAGAGAGACCATATTAATGACTTCAGATTCATTGCCCGTGAGCACTTCAATATCATAGTTTTCTGGATTATCCTACGTGTCAGTAAATGAGCAAACACAGTTATGTGTTGAAACAGATGTTAGAATTGTGGGATAAACAATCTAGATTTGGTTGCAAGATCAATGTGCCAACCTTTGCATCCCGGTATAGTCGTTCGTTAGCTTCTGATATGACTCCCAAAAAGTCCCTTACTTGTCCCAAAACTGCGGCCAAGTAAGCAAGTAATATGAACAATATTTTGCATGGTACTTCCAACAAAACAACACTAGAAATAAAACAGAATCAGAGAATCTCAAATGCATGATAAATTGAAAACTACTGTTTGAGCAAACAAAAAGGGGCATAGGCTACAAATTTGATGCTACAACATTCTCTAATCTATTTCAAATTTGTCACATTTTCCGATCATCAATGAAGTTTTCATTTGCCTAAAACAAATAAAGCTTGGGGCGTAGGCTAAACCATCCTTACAACCTCCCCATGACATTATATACACAATCATCAGCTAATGTATAAAGCATCACATCTAACACTAAAAATTTGTGAAAATTCAGCTAGAACTATGCAAGTAATGCAAGTTCTCACTACTGAAAAGGAAAAATATGAATAGGGAAACAGTGTATGAGCAACAATATTCCGTGGTAAAGCAATTAACTGACTGTAGTGGATCGACATGAACAGAGATTCAAGCCAATCACAAGCAGACAATGAAGAACTTCCTACCCTCTATCTCAAGCAAGATGCTTACCAATAAACCAAAAGAGGAAGAAAACAATAACACCAGGAGCAAAGAAAAAGTAAACAGCACATAAAATAATCCTATCTCGTCAAATTAAACGATGAAATTTCAGCGCAGGAATATGAAGAATGAGACAAATCCAATAACAGGGGACTTTGAGTCACACCCTTCAAAGTTATAATTCAAACCACTACAACTTAGTAACTTAGGAAGTTCAAAAACAATATAAAATATAGGAAACAAGAAGCACAGGCACTATGCTGGGATCGAGACCCCGTATAAAAGAAATTAAGCATCCATCACCAAAATTATAGATCCATTTGAGAATTAAACATTATTTAGTTGGCCAAGTAGAAACCAACATAGAAAATTACTGGCCGGAAAATAAAATCTTTCACATATGTGCGCATCACATCAAATGGATCTCATATTTAATCTCTTACCAAGAACCCATAATTCAAATTCCTTTAAATTGAAGTTTTCACAATTGAAAGAAAAACCCAAAATTTAAATGGGGAGAATCGAGTACCTTGGCTTTTGGGAAGAGGAAGAGCAGGGATGAGTTTCCCTTCGGGTTGAGCTTTCTTCGTTGAGGCATTTTTACAAACAAGTAGCGTGCTTTCTGCAAGAAATATACAGAAAGTAAGCTACATGAATTTGCATAGAGAGAGAGGAGAGAGAGAGAGAGAGAGAGAGAGATAGAGAGAGACCTAAGGGTGAAGTTGAAGCCTTTTTGTGCTCCAATTGCAGAAGGTCTTTGCTTGTATTTCCCATCTTCCTCTTTCTCTCAACTGTACTCGACCAAAGGGTTTAGGGTTTTGGACTAAACGGCAGCAATTTTCTAGTGTTTTTTTTTCGTTGATTCTAATTTTGTTTCATTAGAATTTCAGATCGTGTAATGGGCTTGATCAATCAGAATTAATTGGCCCTTCAGTTCATTTAATCACTATGGCCCTTCTTTGATGGTCGAATATGGGCCCTTCATTGGGCCGTTTGGCAACTTTTCGTGTTTTTATCGTTACTCTTGTCGGGCAAAATATTTCAAGCACAAACCCGACTTATAAGGGAGGTTGAAATACTTCTTTGAGTTTTTCCAGCCCCCGGAAGAGGCGGATAACCATGACTTGCCACCAATTGTCCCTTTAAAATAAAAAAATAAAAACAAAAAACCAAAACCCGACCCATAAACTTATCGTGTTCAAATATATAAAATCAAATCCGTTCGGTATATTTCAATTGTATTAAATTTTAAATATATTGTATTACGCAACAAATATGAACATGTGTACTATAGTGTTAAACGTGTTTCTTGAACAAACAATAATCCGACCCATTAAGAAGAAATGTGTTCATATCACGTCGCCGTTACATAACGACTTTATAAGGCTCGACTCAAACCCTTTGTTTTCGTGCAAAATTGTGGTGTATTATCGTCATGTCTTGGTAGAAACATCCTTTGCTTGTTATGCACAATACCGGATTGCAATGATCATTAATGATAATTCAAATCATCACTTAGAGAGAACAAAATCTCATTCGCAGCCCAATGATGAATTGGTTTAGTAGCATCTAGCTTCACTTTGTTGAATCTTGATTTCAAATCTTATGAACAACAATTGTTGATTAATGATGTATAATAAAAGGAAAACTAATGAAAAAAAAAAAACTTTAGTTTTATTGAAAAATGACAAATAAAAGTATAGTGAGTAGCATGTGGCTTTTCTTTAAAAATGAATACTACCAAGAATGTTTCGTTAAAACTCCCATAAGAATATACTTGATCGAATCACTAATTCTTCCAAATATAACAAAAGTGAAGAAACATTTTGGCATCTTGCAAAGGAAATCCAAAAGAAAAGGTTACTTTACTTCCAAGTCTCATCCCAAAAAAACCTCTATGTAATTTCTATCTCACAAATAAATCAGCTACAAGATAAACAGAGAGAAAAAAAATACAGGAAAACAAATAATAAAAGAGAAATTAATATTTTTGGTATTTTTTTTTTTTATATCAGTATTTAGGTAGAGAACACTCCTTTGGAAGGTTGCCTTGGAACCTCTCCTTATCTTCGCAATAGTCATAAATCATGTGGTACTTCCTAACCCACTTGAACAACCTTCTCTGTGCATTTGATAGGGTACTAAACCTCTCCTCGTTCCACCAGTTTGTAGGGCTCTCTGCCCTACAAAATCTAGCATTTCCCTTCCAAACACAGGCATCAATCGTGTGGTTTCTGAATGAAGCTATGAAGGGGCCTTTCGACCAATCGATTTTGTCGCGCCCGCCTCCTGTTGCCCAGCTGTCGCCGTTCCATAGGCTGGCTTTGATGCTCATTGGCTGCCACCTTGGAAATGCTACACCCTTGTCTGCATGGTTTCTGTATACTCTAATTGGAACCCAATCCACCATAAATCTATAGGCAGCAAAAGTACACCAAATTTGTCCCATAAATTTATTGTGTATACTTAACTTAAATATGTAAAAGAAAGATTAAAATGTAGTACTGATCAGATTTGATAGATGGCTTACACAATTTGGTGAAGGTTCCATAATATGGAATAGGTATGGAAGTCCTTTGTTGGATCAAACCATAGATTGATCCTCTCTTCACGGTCATCCAACCCGTCAGCGAAAATGTTTGTTTGAAGGATATATGGTTTGCCTTCAACATTGCCAAGGAACTCATAGTCTACCTCATCACGGTTAGGTTGATCAGATGTTAACTGCATTGATTAATTTCCAGTTGATCATATACAATCCATTAATACTCAGTCATTAGCAAAAATGCGGAAGAAGAAGAAGAAGGAGAAGAAGAAGAGGGAAATGGTTGTTCTTTTTGCTTACATAATAAGCCACAACTGTGCCTGCTGAATGGCCTGGTACTAGTTTAATCTGCATGTCAATTTGTCCAAATAAAAACATCTGGTTTGAAGCAAAACCAGCACCTAGGGGAAACGAAAAACAACATCATCAGAATTCGGAAATGCTACGACTAATTAAAAGAGTTTATGAATTTTGATCATGTACCGGATTCTTGGTCGAGCTTCAAACTCATTGTCTTGCCATCAGCTGAAGTGTTTACATGGCCAGGAGACCATGTGACAAAGAAATCTTTGTTGAAGTCACCTGTTGAAACAACGGAGGCATCTACGGTTCGAGTCGATATCAAAGTAAGAAAAAGCCCAATAAAGATGATAATCCTGTTATTCTCAGTCATGGTTTTGATTCAGGTTTCTCGGAAGAAAATGATAGCAAGATGTTTGAAGAAGCTATATATATAGGTATTGATTGCATGGAAGGGGAGGCAGAAAATGGGAACAAAGAACATTGAATCGTAAAAAGACGACAGAAAATGTGTGATAGAAGGAAGGTTTTGTTTAAGCAGGAATATCTTTAGGGGGAAGCAAAGAAATGTTTTGGTTGTTAGCATCTTATGAAATATAATTATGGGTGTTTTGTGGTTCCTATTAGGATGTCATTAAAACTTTGATCATTGCAAACTTGAGTTAGTTAAGTTGACTATAACAGCGTGCTCCTCCTTTTGCACTCAAGTTTGAATCTCCGCCTCTCAGAATTTAGATTAGATTAATTCAAATAACGTCGAATGAAAAAATTATAAAATCTGGACACATTGCATTTTTTTCATTTGACAGAAACAATTGAGCAAGTTAAGCTCAATAATAACTTTAACTAGCATAGTGCATGCCCCTAGGCTTTCTAAATAAGAGCTTAGTTATCTGTTAGGTTAGCAGAAAGTTGAAGAAAGAGAAAAATTGACTGTTTTGTTTTCATTTTGGCTTTCTAGGATAACTTGGTTACTCAAGCATCCCTTCTATACTCCATGAGGTCTTTAAGGTTATTCCTTCCCTCCCCTTGTAGGGTTGTGCATGAGTTGGATTTCCTTTTTGACCCAATTTTTGAACAGCCAGCAGATCCCCCAAGTCATCCATATATTGCACAAATTTCATTAGTATAATCCAACTTATCAACATAGTTATAAACTTCGAATATATTGTTGAGAACTAATTCTTCAGATTAATAACATGTTATGTCGGAAGAAGTCTCAAATTTGAATTTCCTATACTTTTAAATAAAATATATAAAAAAATTCAAATAAAATTGTTCTATTGTTTGTGTAAAAGAACAAAGACATATGGGACAACGATCTTTGACAAGAATAAGAGGTTTTTCAATGTGCTGGAAACTCATAGTGATACACTACATGTAATTATACAATTAGAGGGACACTTGAAAAAATAGAAAGAAAAAAAAAACTTTCCACCAATTATATGATAACATGTGGCGTATCGCCCCGTATCCGGGCACATTGAAAAATCTCTCAACAAGAAGAACATTCTTTAATCATTATTATTAGTCTCGGTTTTGCAGTAAGCCAGAAACCCCCAAAAGATACAAGGAAATTCTGATTAATTTTAAAGTTGACAGTAGCGTTAATCCAACTCCAAATGATTACTGTTGAACTAACTAAATTATTAATTATTAATCTACCACATAACTTACCAATTACTGCTATGGCTTTTTACACAAAAATCATTACTATCGTTGCTAACACTCCAAATTTCATTCTTCAGTTTTATCCTCATCCGTACACACATTTCCTACAAAACATTCATGTTAATATATCCAACTTATGTATGTCTTCAAACATCACAATATCGTGCCCTGTACGTTTGGTGTTAATTTGCAAGTGCACATGATAGTCGTAGTATAGCATTTCGCAAGTCCAAATATTGTTCCTGGAAGGATTCTAATTCAATCTCCAATTTGATAAACTAAACCAAATCTAATTATATTAAAGATACAAAAACATGAAAATATAAACATAAACAATGAACTAGACTCAACCATGGAAGAAAATGCCAATAATATCGGCGAAATATCGCCGATATTATCGGTTTTTCGGGGAATGGATATTTTAATTGGTATCCGAATGGTTTTCGTCCAAATATCGCGATATTTTTTTGAACGGTGCAATCGGACTCCGAGCCAAACGTCGGAGAAGAACGCCGGAGATGGTGTGCCTATTTCCGAGCCGATTTCGTCCCAAAAACCTTGCAAAAACACGATTTTTAACTTCAATTTCACATATAAACTTCAAATTTCACGCATGCAAGGATAATAAACGATTCAACATATGTGATGTCGGTTTAGGGTTTAGGGTTTCAATGGAATCTCATCTTGTTTTCTTCGAGTCGAAGACGAACTAGATGACTGAGCCAACTCCTTGCTCAGCGGCGCACCGCCACAGACGACTGAGCCAACTCCGACTTCGCCAGAGCCACGATCAACGGCGGCGACACCCATATATCGAGAAGGATTCGAGATTGTCGGACTGAGGAGCAGAAGGCCGTGGTGTGTGTGTAGGGGAAGGGAGAAGAGAGATCGAGAGATCTGTGTGTGTGGGGGGGGGGGGGAGAAGGGAGAAGAGAGATCGGAGAATGGAGAAGAGAGATCGAGAGATATCTGTGTGTGTGTGTGTGTTTGGGAGAAGGGAGAAGAGAGATCGGAGATCTGTGTGTGTGTGTGTGTGTGGGAGAAGGGAGAAGAAAGATCGAGAAGGATCGAGAGAGAGAGAGAGACTGAGGTCGTGGTCTGTGTGTGTGATGTTTGTGTGCGTGCGTTGTGTGCGTGTGTGGTTGCATGCGTTGTGTCATTTGTGTGTGTGTGTGTGGGTTCCTCCTGTCAGGAGGACACATGACTCACTCAGTATTCCCGACAAGTTTTACAATTATTTTGACAATTTGACACATGACTCACTCAGTATTCCCGACAAGTTTTACAATTATTTTGACAATTTCAGACCACTTTTACAATTATAATTTGTATTCTTTTCAGACCATGGATGGTGG